GTGTCACGAAGCCTCATCCGCCATGAGCATCAGGTAAACAAGTGTACGAAGGGAACGGGAGAAACGGGACGCAGCTCCCCATGTCTGTACTATGATCCTATCAAATCCCCTTCTCATCTTATCCCTCCATATCCACAAAAGAGGAGAGGCTACCCGTGTCATTGGCGTCATGTAGTAAAGCAAGTTTGTCATAATCAGCAAGGAGCCTTAGGGGCTACACTTTCTCATTACCGGTATGGAGTCACAGAGAACGCTCATACGAGGCCAACAATATTCAATGTCTAATCCTAAACAAACTTCTACTTCACTTGAGCGTGAAACTATTGCTCGTTCCCACAAACGACGTCACTCCTCCAAACAGTGCCTTGGAGTCGCCGTAATACTTGACACGGTATGTTCCCGGCTGCGCATTGCCGTACGTCTCCCAAGTAATGTCCACCTCGCTCTGTCCCAAGATGAAGTTGGTTCTTCGCCAGGTGTAGACAAGGAACCAATCCGAGTCGTCACGTACCTGCGTCCATGTTCCGCCACTGCCTTGCTGCTCGATTGCCGCAAAGGTTTGTTCTTGGCGGAGGTTGTTACGTGGGTTAGCACCCTGGAAAGTGACGTTGACAACATCACCGATATTGTACGTCAAGTTTGGCTGCACCAAAACGTTGCCAAAGCTCTTGCCAATCGGCGGGTTGTCCTGGACAACATCGGTAATGAATGAAATCATGTTCTTTCGGTTGTCTGGAGGGAGGACACCTTGGGAGGGGGTGCCGGTCGAGCCAGGTTGGAGGTAGTGCAGGTTGCTGACGGTGAGATTGATGTAGGCGTTGAGCTCATTTCGGCCGAAGAGAGTTGAGGCCCCTTCGTAGCGCTGGATATCGTACTCCTCAGGCGTTGCGCAGTAATGAGAGTAGCTGTTTGCTGGACCACCCAAGACGACAATAGGGTCCTCGTCGAGGAAAGTGGCTGCTTCCTTTGCAACTGCGGCCTTCCAGCGCCGGCCGGCCATAGTGGTAGCTTCACTAGGACTCACAATGATGACAAACTGGCCTACACGGAGCGCCTGAATGTCTACGATATTCGGCGTCCAGGCGTATGGCGTCGAAATCTCACCAACGTCTAAAAGAACAGGCTTGGGCTGCTGGCACGCAACTTGCTGAGGGCCTGGTGCCTTGAGCAGGCCACCCACAAGTGACCAAAGGGGGTTGTTTGGCGAACCAGAGTCGCCCTGAACGAAGTCAAAAGCGCCAGGCCAATCAGAAGTTCCAGCGGCAAAAGAGAATCCAAGAGCGGCCGGGCAAGTCTGAGCCTTGGTTCCGTCTGGCAACGTAAAGTTAAAGTAACGCATATCCTGAAAGAAGTGAAAGGCTTTGACCGTGGAGCCGGTAACCGGAGTAGTGGATGATTTCAGGTTGTCCTATGATTTCGTAAGTTACAACTCCTTTTCCATTGAAAGAAGGCATAGATGTGTATAAGCGAAGTGAAAGAGAAACAGGCAAGCAAAAATGGCATGCCACTTACATAAATAGTCTGGGCTCCAGCAAATTGCCTGCGGCCCATTTCGTAACAGCTCTTTGCGCCGAGATCCAAGGCCTGGAACTCGGGTCCTCGGCCATGACAACTTTGCGACTTGCCATCCGCACAAGTGCTGTTTTCGAGGCTACACTGCTGGCCGGAGCCGTCGTCGCACCAAGCACCAAGAACATTGGGAGTAGTATCGCCAACATTGGCCTGGCTGAAGCCTGCCACGAAGCCATCGGCAGCGGTGGCGTCATTCTTCATGGCACTCTCAAAGAGCCATGCAGCAACACCTTTGTTGTCACCAGCAGCATGAGTGTTATTTCCAAGGAGAGAAGTGCCGTGAACAGGGAACCATGTCAAGACACCGATGTTCTTGCCGTCAGAAGCACGCTGAAAGCGAAGCAGGGTCATGGTAATGTCGGTTTCTGAGCCATACTGAGCTCGCTCCTCCTCTGGGTTGTTGAGATATGCCCAAAGCGAGCGGTTGATGGCGCCATCGGCAATGTCAGTTGTGCCGACATCGAGATAGCCTTCCTGGAGGCTCTCATGGGCGCGCTGGACAGACAAGACAGCACCGTTGACAATGGCTTGGTAGCTCTGCTGGCTCCAGCCAAGGGACGTGATCTGTGGCAGTAGATAATTGAACCAAGCACCAGGGCCAGAGTGGCTGTGCGTTCCCGTCAGAGCAATGTTGTTCTGACCATAGACGGCATATTCACTGCCCAGAGCCTTCAAACCGTCCAGGAGGCCATTCCGCATAGCAGTGTCTCCGGACTGCGTGTCGAGGACCAGATAGACAAAGCGGTCACTGGGGTTGGCCTTGTCCGCAACGATAAAGGCACGGCTGTAGAGACGCTGGCGAAGGCCAGATCCCGTCTGGTCCAGGTTGGCATATCCAGCAAAGCCAATCTCCACCACGGGGCCGGTGATGTCGGCCTTGCCCACGCCGATGAGATACGACTGGCGGTCCGCATCGGCGAGCTTCTGGAACTTGTGCAGTTTCCCGCCGGGCGAGGCCGTAGCGATGGCGCCAAAGAGCACCACGGAAAGGAGAGCAAAGATGCTGAAGATGGAGAGCGCCGACCGGGCCTTGCTGGCAAAGAGCAGCGCCATGGTTGGAGATTCGAGAGCCGGAGCTGGCGACTTGACCTTCTCCGCAGTTGGGAGAGGAGCCAGTTTCCCCAGCTCGCCCTGCGAGGAGTCCGCCATGCAGTACTTATTTATCTCTGCAGTTCTCCTAGTGTAGTGTAGTATAGTATAGGCAGGGTAAGGTAAGGTAGACGTGGAATTAATGCCCAAAGCCGTGAACTGTCTCTCAATGCTTGTACTTTTGCTCGTAGTATCGGCACGGATCACTTGACTGTAAGGGAAGCAGCTTGCGTTCCGCTCCTGCCCATTAAGACATGGCGATGCCCTCCAAGGAAAGGGCGGCATGCCCGGCTGCCCTCCAACTTTAAGCTCCGCACCGCTAGTCCCGAAGCAGGGAGCTATACTGCCCGTGTGGGGTTAGCGGTAACGGCAATCCAGATCCCGCTGGGGAAGGCTGTTCTGGGACAATACAATTGGCGTTGATAAAAAGGCAGCTATGATGCGTAATTGCGATATCTAATGGAATATTTTATTGATTCAAAGTATTCTCCGTATTAAGCGAATAGCCTTGCCCATCTGTTTCTTTCCAACTCCTTTCTACACTTGAGATTCTTCACTTGAGATCCGAATCGCCCGTCCATACCTATCATGACAAACGCCTAGAGCCGGGTCAACACCCACCATGTCGGCAACAGACGAAAGAACCGCGAGCAACTCCAAGCGACACACACAGCCAGCGTCGTATTGATTGCTATCGACATTCATGCGACCCCGTTCTGCGCAGCACTTCCAAACGACACCTTACATCCAGGAGGGCACCGGCCGGTGGGACGGTCAACGTAGCATCGGCAGCTCAGCTTCCTAGCAATCATGCAGCGCCCAGAGAAGGCCAATACGAGTCCGGACATGCAGTTGAGCACGGCTAGGCCAGCCGACTGTCGTCACATCGCGCAGCGAGACAAGCCTGGATGGCAGATCCAAACAAAGGGCTTCGCGTGCTGAGCTGTGTGACGGCAGCCCCTCCTCCAGATCAAGTTGTCAAGGTTGAAAAGTGCGGGGAGGGCCGTTGGAAGAGATGGACCGGGTCACCCGCCATCCCCGGCTCCTTTGCGCAAATGCCAGTCCGAATCCACTGTGTCTACCGAGACTCGAGTACTCGTAGGTGTTTTTGGGAGAGGGAGCAGGGGGTAAAACCGGCCCAACCTGCTTCCCCTTGAGCGAGTCAAAGATCTACAGACAGAGCCAAGACAGCGATACATACAATGGCAGATCACCACGTCATCGTGAGCGTCGCATGTCAGACGCGAATCTCTAGAAGCAGGTACACGCAACCAATGCCGCCTGTTGTCTTCGCCGGTGTGTAGGGCGAGGCGAGGCGAGGCGAGGCATCGTCATCACCGCCATCCCACGAATCGGCACGATGCCTTAGTCGAGCGGGGGTGTGTCAACACTTGCATTTCTACCACCGCCTTGAACAGTATCATGTCCGATTGCCCAGCGTGAGCCTCGGTTCTGCATCCGGAAAGAAAGAAGAGCAAAAACTCTTGTCGTTTAGCTTGTGCAAGAGCCCAAGCTGAGATGGGGCCTGGTTGTGAGGACTCGTCTGAAGTGACATGTACCACTTCAAAAAACCAATGGAGAGCTTTCCATGGCCAACAACGCCTTGGTACCTAAGCTGGCGAAAATGCCAGGGAGACAAGATCAAGATTGCATTAACCAATGTATTGGTTCCCTTCTCATTAATGTCCGACTTAACATACAGCGACTGATTCTGCCAATCTACATACCTGTAGACCATTGGTCATACCCTACACAGGTACACTACCGCGACCTTGCTGTTACCTATTCCCTCTTCTCCAAACCCATGACCCAAGGCGCATAGTTGTACACGAGATATCCGTCCACGGCCAAACACGTCGCAACTCCATATGCAATGTACCGGCGAGATTGAGGCGATAAATTCCTCCAGCCTCGTGTAGACGCAGAAATGCTTGCGTCTGCCGGCTTGAGGGTGCGTGCCGAAGTGGAAAAGGCGGCTCGGGTGGCTTGCGAAATGACGGTAGAGAACATGATGTGCTTTTGTTTATTCTTCAAGAAGGTAATTAAGCCATTGATTGTTTTTGCGTTTGATTGTGTAGTCTGATGATGAGTCTATTGTTTTAGTGTATTGATTTAATGCCGATGCTCTGTTTCATTCAGTTCATCACAGTCTTTATATACATAGCCGGTCCCCTGTCTACGCCACCTTTACTCCCGCATCGTGCCCCAGCCGTTATGCTTATTCGTAAGGTTTGCCGTTATGCCCCAGCGCCACAATGTCACTCTCCACGCGCCCCATCATTTCAGGTACAATCGAACATTCCAAAAATGTCCATACATAACCTGATATAACTCAACATTCACTGCGGCTTCGTGGGCCGCGTTATCGTCAATGGCTTAAACGGCTTGCGAAGCCTATCCAGCCCCGGCGGCGGACCCAAGCCCACCGGACGCCTGACGCCGCCCCTGGAAGCGGCAGAAACAAACGTCGTCCTGTGAAAGCTCGTGGCAGGGCGATCGGGAACGGAAACCTCTTGCGTGGTTGTCTGTTGTTCCTCCTTCACCTCTTCGGCTTCAGCTGGTCTTGGTGGAGAGCTGGAGAAACAGTGATACCGCTTTTTGGAGCCTTCGTCGTCTTCCATCTTAACGACGCTGGGCCTGTTTAGGGCATTGCCGCTGGCGAGCTTGTGTTTCGCCAACGATGGGTCGACGGCGGGTAGCTTTGGGAGCTCACGCGCCTTCGTCTCGGCCGCCATTCTAGCTGCGGATCGAGACGCCGCGAGCTGATATCGAGCCATGGACGCGTCTGGACCGCCGAACCCGCCGCCTGGAGCCGCTGGTTTCTTTGACGCCGTGGTTACGAATCCAAGGAGGCTGGTCTGGTCTGCCTTTCGACGAGTTGTTCCCATTTTGACAGCCTTCTTGGCTGCCGCCGCCTTTTCTGCTTCAGCAGCAGCTGCTGCGGAGAGGGCGTTTTGATGCGCCCCGGCCGACGTGAACCCTGGTAAGGAAGCCATGGTAAAGTTGGATGCTTGTTCCATGGTTGTGCTGTATTCCTTCTTCCATGGCTGATCCTCGGCGGTTTCCTCGTCGTCGTTACCATAGCCCTGGTTGTTTAAGCGTTGCCTCTTGGGGCCCTTTGGACGATGCCCTTCTGAGTCTTCTGGACCCTCTGCACCTCTAGTGTCAATTGGATCTACGGGAAACAGATTATCCTCTGGGGAGAACATGGCGGGGAGTTTGGCAAAGATTGCTTTCTCGCTGGGGAGATCCCTTCCAAGAATTTTTGCGACCCCTTCTAAGATGGGTCTATTGAACGATGCCCCTTGCTTGGAAAAGGCCGTTGAGGCGAATGGTGAGACGAAAGGCGACAACTCGACCTTTGTACCCATGCCTTGAGACCCGTATAAGGGACAGCTGAGGTAAAGCAGCGCCTGTGCTCTGGTCATGGCCACATAGAGGAGTCGCCTTTCTTCGTCCAAGTCCTCGGCCCTTGAATGGGGGATGGAGCCGGCATAGACTGCTGGAACAAACACAATGGGCCACTCGAGCCCCTTGGCAGCATGAATAGTCGAGATAGTTATCACTGCCTTCTTCTCTGCCCCTTCGTCGTTTTTCTGGGCATCTGATGCCAGCGCCACGTTTGCCAGAAAGCGGCCCAAGATGCTGTCGTCTTTCACCTGATCGACGTGGTCGATTTCAGGCAGCATTTCATCCTCTAGATTTGCTGCATCGCGTACAAAATCATTTGCCAAGCTGAGGAATTCCTGAACGCTTTGCCATCTCTGCTCATGGTCTTCGGGATACTCCGACTCGAGATATTGTTTAAAATCAAGCTGTGACAGCAACTTTTCAATTAGATCAACCAGGGTATGTTGAGACTTCTCTGTGATTTGCTGGGCTTGGGTCTGAAGATTTGATATCAATCTCAGCAGCTCGGTGTTGAGCTTTTGCTCCATCTTGGGCAGTATCTTTGTCGTCGCTTTACGACTACCCTGGCAGTGCTTTCTCAAGAGCGACCAGAGACTTATTTTCAGTTGCTCGGCCTCTTCTATGAGTCGTTTGATCGTCGTGTCTCCGATTCCTCGACGCGGAACATTAATGATTCGGGCAATGGCGTCGTTATTATCCGGCTGATAGATTGCGCGCAAGTAATCCAGCAAAATCTTGATTTCCTTCCGTTCATAAAACTTGTGGCCTCCAATCATTTGATATGCCAGCCCCGCCTTTCCCAATGCCGCCTCAATGTGTCTAGAGAGAGAGGCAGATCTCAGTAGAATAGCCACGTCTTCGTATGTAAGCATGTCCCCAAACATCATGACGGCCCGTCTAATCTCAGAGACGATCCAGTCTCCTTCCGCGGCGGAACTCTTTAGCTTTCGCAAAACCGGTCTTGCACCTTTATTATGGACTGGCAAAAGGACCTTTTGGTATCTCTTCTTATCTTGCTGAATGACTGTTAATGAGACGTCGAGGATTGACTGAGATGATCGATAGTTTTCCTCCAGGGATATCTCATCAGTGTCGGGATAATCCCGTAGCAGACGGTACAAATTTCGGATCTCGGCCGATCGCCAGCCATAGATGCTTTGATCGGGATCACCAACAATCGTTATTCGTTGGCGAGCCTGCGCAAAAAGTTTCATCAACTCATACTGAATGCCATTTGTGTCTTGGTACTCATCAATGAGCACAGCCTGAATATTTGAAACACAGGCGGGATATTCCCTCAAAAGCTCGACACAGCGCACTAGTAGATCGTCGTAGTCCAATAGGTTTGATCGTTCCAAGTGCTCCTGGTACTCCCTGTAACACTCGTTTAAGGAGGGATTCTCAGGCTGCTTCTTGTTTGAGGCTGATTCCGTTGCATGACCCTTGGCCTTTTTCTTGCTGATCCATGACCTTGCATATCCCGGATCAATGTTGAAGTCGTGCCGCTTGCATATCCGCTGAATGACTGCCCGCGAATCGCCATCATCCGCAATGCCAAACTTGGAGTCGAGGCCTATGTGTTTACCATAGGCACTAAGGTACCGCCGAGCAATGGAGTGAAAAGTGCCGAGCACAATCTTTCTCTCACAATCCGGGCCAAGGACCTTTCCAATCCGCTCTTTCATTTCCCGGGCCGCCTTGACCGTAAATGTCGCAACGACGATGTCTGACGGCTGGTGCCCAGTTTGCTGAATCAACCACACGACGCGTGACGTTAGAGTGTGCGTCTTGCCACTGCCGGGGCCGGCTAGAATGGCGACTGTCGACGCATTGGAGGTAACGGCGCGGCGCTGAGCCGCATTCAGTGACTTGAGGATTGGATTTTCAGCTTGGGCCGCTGTCATGGTGGTGGTTGAGGCGACGGCGTGTTAAACAAGGAAACAGAGATGAGGCATCGAGAGCTGATGTTGTAGATCTAAGCGAGTGGCGATGATTGAATTTCCAATACAACACATAGAGAACAAGCACATTGAATTCAACAAATCATTGTGATTTTGCCTCTTTGTATCAACCTCGTCGATACTGGACGCCGTTATCGAAACGCGTCGGGGCAACCAACAAGAAACATGGCATCGCGAAGTCATGTGACCATAATTAAGAGCCTTAGTAAGCATACGGGAACGTAATTACCTGTTATACGCTTCGAAGTAGCACCCATTTTCACTATTTTACCACTTGGAGATTTGAGATTTGAGACTTGAGATTTGAGATTTGAGAATGGGGGAATGGAAGAAAGAGAGAGCCCGTCGATGATCCTCTGTGATTGTGAATGTTAGACGCGCCCATCTGTGCTATCTGTGATGAGTGATGAACGAGGTGATGAGAAATGCCTTCACATCACACGACTAGTTGAAGCCGTCACAAATCCAGAATCCAGAATCCAGGGATGGCGTGACTCGGGTGTTCAAAGAATGAGGTCCGTCAGCACGATTGGCGTACATGTCGATCATCACTTCAGTCACTGCAGAACGACAACCGACAAATTCAGCCGTGCCCAAGAGGCTCCAGGATCCGCTCCGGCGGTGTGCCTGGCGATGTGACGAGACATACAGGATGGGCACCTCGTTGGTCCAACTTGGGTGACCCGGCTTTGGAGTTCAGGGCGCCCATCACCACTAGCAGGAGTGGCTGAAGGGGGAGCGGCGCTATTCTAAGCAGCCCTGGGGAGGCATTTGGACGAATCGTGGCGGGTGTCACTGCAGAGGAGCAGGGATGAATCCCGATGTCCTGCTTGGTGCGAGCACCGGCGCCGGCGGCTATTCTATTGCTCACCTTAGCGTCGGGTGCCCGCTTTGCATATCGTGGCCTGTGATGGAGGCGATGTTGTTGAATATGAGAGAAATGAACAAAGGAAGGGGGAAGAAGGAGGCGAGATGTCAAGATCGACAACACAGTGAGGTACTAGTACATCGTTAATACCTTATTGCATTAAATAACCGAACATGCACGTTGGCTGTGGCTTGATTGAATCAAGGTCCAGCATCGTGGGATTGATTAGGTTGATCGTGCAATTGATTACAGCAGGTCCGGTTCCAATCACTCAGGGCATCTTCCCCTCTGTGGGCTGCTGGCGGGGCGCTGCAGGGAGCAAAGCTCTAGTGCCTTGCATCAACACTCCCAGCCCGCCAATCAGCAGCCGGTGGCGCCCGTCACAGAGCAGGTCGGCGCTTAACCACCAAGCTTCGGCCCAACCACAGGCTCGAGATGGCCTCTCCGTCTGCTCTCTGTGCCTTGGGCTCGTTGACGCCATGTAACCGCCAGAAATCATCACCCAGCCAGTCACAGACCGGCGAGCTGGGGAGCCCAGGTCAATCCTCGCCCGGCCCCACGGCCCAGCGCCAATGTTGCTCCGGCCCAGCATCGCCAGCCGCTGTGACGACTCTAGTATATACCCTTTACATGCCGCATATTTCTCCTCACTCATGTCACATCTCCTCTTGGGTCATGTTTCGCATTTCAACGCCAGGAGGTTCCATCACGCAGCGATCGCCTTCATAAGAGCAAGGCCGGTCTCCATCATGCTTCTTGGAACTCGTCCTCCATCATCATCCCTCGCCCTCTTGCTTCTGTCGTCTTTAGCCTCTGCAACGCCGATCCACGACACCAAATATCTACCCGCGCAGATTGGCGGAATCATTGCGGCATACGGAGTCTCCTTGGTGCTGGTCGCCATCCTCTTGCTTTCGCTCTCTAGACGACGAAGAGAACATCTCAGTGGCAACGACATCCCCAGCTACGTTCTTCAACTTCCGGTAGACCCAAAGTTCCAGCAGTTCCAGCAGTTCCAGCAGCAGCAGCAGCAGCAGTTCGATTTCGCAGCTCAGCCCGAGGGCCACGTTGTTCCTCCCATCATCATCCCCAAGTCAGAGTACTATCACTCCGGTCCATATAGCGCCCGCATCTTCGATCCCAAGGCGGTGCCCGCATCGTACATCATACCATCGCCCTCTTCGTCTGCCATTCCTTCTACTCTTGGAGTCTCCCCACTTGTGGACCAGTCCGTCGTTGCAGCAGACAGAGCCATGGCGCAACAACAGCTCGAGGAAATGTACAAGCATGTCATGGAGCATGAGGAGGCCAAGCAAAGGGGCATCGTGCTCGAGTCTCCAGTTGCCTCTCCGAACCCTCAGCGCGACTCGGCCACATCAAAGACCGGTCTGCTGTCAAAGAAGAACAAGTCCAAGCCTGCTGGTTTGAACCTGGCCGCGGCCAAGGAAGAAAAGTCCCAGTCAAAGACGTCGGCTCTCTTTTCCTCGCTCCTCTCACCGAAGAAGAAGGCCGCCAAGGGCATCAACATCTCGTCCCCCATCATGACACCCATGTCGGGAACTTTCCCTCAGCATGAATCTCGCGAGATGAGCGCCATTCCTCCAAGGCACTATGCTCCCGCACCTCCGCCTCCGATCCCGACGGACCAAATTCCTTTTGGTGCCTCCAACGCCAGGGTATCGGGTGCTCCCATCACCCCGGATATGTCTCCCCAGAGCATTCAAACCATCGATGAGCGCATTGGAGCTTCTATCGACCACGCCAATCGATCGATGACTGCGCTACCGTACGGCGAGAGAGGGCCGGACTCGGCCAAGACGGACGGCTCTCAGGCTCCCTTGGTTGGTCTCCCATCCTCTCCCAAGCCCGGAAGCACGTTTCCTTCGCTGCCGTCTTCACCCCGGCCCGGTGCCTCCTTCTCCCGTCCCAGCCCGCCGTCTGCGGTCCGAACCGGTGGAACCTTGCCCCTTCGTGCCTACGAGGAGCAGCTGGGTTCGCCTTTCGTCACTGTCCAGACGACCAAGCAGACCGTCTTTGAGAGAACCGGTCCTCTATCACCAGGTGGCGGCAGGACTCCGTTTACCGGAACTGCAGTTCCGTACTCTCCGTATCAGCCGTATACTCCTTGCGTTCCAATCACCCCTGGCTTGGTTACCAAGGAAGATCGCAAGCGCATGAAGCGAATGGTGCCCAAGACGCCAACATTGGAGATGGTTCAGAATTCTGAGGATGTCTGGTAATTTGGTTGGATGGGAGTAACAAGCAGTTTTTTTCCCTCATATATTAACTCTTCTTTTTTCTTCTCTTCCCCCCTTTTTTTTCACCTTCTACTGTTAGATAATTTGCTGGGGCCCTCCCAAGGAGGGCACCTTGATCATGTCGCCGTGATTTTCTTCTCGTTTTCCCCAAAACATGCCCTATTCATTTTTTCACTTTTTTTTATTGCACACATATATCCAATGACTTGGGCCAGGAGCGCAGGATTGAGGAAAGAAGGAAATTCATACCCCCGCATATTTTGTTCACGACTGACGAGATTTTTTTGTACTTGATAAGCCTATAAGCATCTAAAAAATCCATCATCAATAATTGAGTGTTTGGTATTTTGGAAGAAGTAAAAGATTGTATCTCTAAGGAGTGTTGCTTTGTGATTGTGTGAAGGTGGTAGTCGTTCAAATGTGTTTGCCTGGGATGTGTTACACTAGAGGAGTGAAAGTTTCTTGGAGTATACTCGTATGAGGACGAAAATCTTTCGAGGTGGTAGCTAGAGACAAGGTGATATCTCTCTGCCATTGCTCAAGACTATTCACATATCGCATCTATCAGTAAACTACACATCGATGTTATCTTTCCTGCAAATAGAACATTCGACGAGTGTAATGCGCGAATAGGTATTCAACGAGTACATCTGGGTCTATATGGAGACAAGGACTAGAGCTTTTCTATGTTTTCTCGAAAACTAGAATTTGGCCCAAAAGGATAAACTCGTAACATAACAGTCATCAATCTTTGAGGGTATTATTTCTTTTTGGAGATCCAGGGCCGGGTGACGTTCCGTGTGCAAAGACTTAATAGGAGAGATGCCTCTACCCACCCCTATCTCCTGCAGTGATCAATCTTTATGTAGGCCGTTGCGTTCCCAATTTGATGCTGATGGCATAGACATGAAACGTCATCTGGAAAACATCTTTGTTTCGTTTCGTTTTCTCTCCCCCTTCACATTGTTTCTTCTTATTTTCTCCACCAAAAAGGATCTTGTAAGCAACTACCATCTTTCGTCATGTAAGCACTCACAAAAAGCAAAGTTAACAGAGGCCATCGAGAAACAATGGGGGCATTGAAGCGGCAAGATTTAATTAAACTTAAACTCAGCCCCGGTGGTCGCATGAACGACTAATACAAAAGAGATTGGTAGTATATCAGAAAGGCCACTTTAGGAGAGACAAAAAGCCATGCGATTTGTGTCGTCAACACTTCGGTTCTGACAGCTTAGCTATTGTCGATCCATGCCGCGGAGCCTGTTCCGCGCCGATTTAGATCAAGCATGCTCCGTAAAGAGTGTTACCTACATCCTGTTCTGAGGTCATAGTCCTACTACCATTTCGGTGACTACTACCTAGCCGGTAGACACGGCTAGAGTTTGATGCCTATCGGGAATGGTTAATCTTGGTAGCAGAGAGTATGACTCGATGACATCTCCGCCAAGTACATGTCTCTGCAAGTTAGTACTGGGTAGTGCTGCTACCCAACTATCGGTCACTATCTCATTATCTCCCACCAAGCCCAGCAATTATAACACAGCTAGCATGGGGCCGGATCCTGCAGACGTCGCTTCCGCAGTGATGGGCACGCAAGATGTGCAAAGGGCAGCCGGCTGGAGAAGCCATTGGGGCAAGTTTTACGCCCTCGTGCGCAAACTCCCTGCTCACACGGGTTGAGTGAAGAATCCTATCCCATGCAGCCAATATCGATCGACCCGCTCGCGGGAGGCGGGGAATATGCACGGGAGACAGCCTGCCAATGTGTATCAGGACTAGTCTGGCAGGCTATCAAAGTGAAGGGAGCGCGGCCGAGC